CTGACAATAGCATCTACCTAATTTGTCCTCTTGCTAGCTGTTTTCTCTGCCGACAATGGCATCCACCTCATTGTTTGTCCTCTTCTAATAATACTGGCCAGCTGTAAAGCCAGGAGGATTCCTTCCGACTCCTATAAGAAGGAAGCACTTCCTTCATTCAGAGGCAGGGCCTCACTCCTCTCCTCTTCCAGAGCTAAACCTCTTCTCCCCTCCTGAAGCCTCTCAACCTTACCTGAAGCCTTCAACCTTACCTGAAACATTTCAAACCTTACCCGAAGCCTGAAGCCTCTCAACCTTACCTGAAGCCTTCAACCTTACCTGAAACATCTCAAACCTTACCAGAAGCCTTCATCAACCTTAGAACTTCAGACCTTCTGTAACCTCAGACCTCCTGTAACCTCAGACCTTCTGTAACCTCAGACCTCCTGTAACCTCAGACCTCCTGTAACCTCAGACCTCCTGCAACCTCAGACCTTCTGTAACTTCAGACCTCTTGTAACCTCAGGCCACTTGAACCTTTGCTCTGCACCTGCATCTCCGTTCTAAACCTGCACCTCTGCTCTACACCTGCACTTGAACCCTGCAACTGTTCTTATTCACAGCTATCATTGCCCTCATAGCTGAACCAGGTTCTCTCTCACCTTACTCTTAATAATGTGTGATTGCAATATCAATAACTTGCCTTCTTACTGTCCTCACCACTGGAAACTCTTTTCCAGTTACTGTATATGTACCCAGTAAGTCATATGCTTTCTTTCTTGTTCAAAGCTTTTCCGCTCTTTGTTTTATTTCTTGCTTTCCTGCTTTTATTTCCTCTGTAATATTTCCCTGTAATATTTTCTGTAAATGATAATAAGATGCTAGTGTGACTTTTCTGAGAAAATTCCATGCAGTTTAAAATTTTATTTAATATTAAAATAGGTAACACTAGTTACGCTCAGTGGATTGTACTTGATATTTCAATAATTCCTTTCATAGGAATCATATTATTCTGTTTAAATTACTACAGAATTTTACAATCATTAATCCAATATAACAGCTTGCTGTTTACTTATTTATTATAACTCTGTTACATTACTGATTATTATCAGCAATAATAGACCTGAACCTAAAACCAATCAATCAAAATATATATGGGTTTGTCTAGAATTAACAACCCTTCAAAATACAAAGTTTCAAGTTAGAAGGAGTTGTGATGACAATCATTATTTTTTATTAAAAAGTTATTTAAATAGGTAACGTTATCATTAACTAAGAGCAAATTTGAAATTTTCATAAAAGTACAATGATATTTTAGAAGTTAGTGTCCTGAAACTTTATTTGTAGAGTGCCCTTGTCATTTAATTAAAATTTCAGTTTTACCCCTTATGGAGATGACAAAAATATCTTTTGCCTTGTAATAACATTTATAAATTTGCCCACAAAAGTAATTTTTTTGAAAAAAATAGACAACAAGATTAATAAATCCACCTTTCACAACTCTCTTTATCCTAAACCTTTGTAATTTGAAAGGTTGTGAAGTTTAGAATATCCATATATATATATATACTTTAAAAAATTATTATACAAAGGTAAATTTCTTTAATTATTCATTCATTGTTTAAAAGTCAACTAAAATCTTTTTTTAATTTGAAATTGAGTTTTGGAAGGACTTTTAAAAGATAGATATAACATTCCTAAAATACATGACCTATTTATTGTCGAAAGTCTTTTTTGAATACATAAGGGCACTTTGTGGTCAAAAGTTTTAGTGTAGTAAATTCTAAGTACGCCATTAGTGTGTTATATTCCAGAGGGGTGTGGTTTCCATAAGGTTACAACCTTAAAAAATCAAAGTAAGGTGTATATCCAAACTTTGTCATGAGATACAATTTTGATGTAAAAATTTTTTAGGATAGTGCGAGAATATATTTTATTTCAAATTATAAATTTTAAACTCTAAAAATGGCTCAAATCAATGAGATCTATAAACATGTGAAAATTTAGAAAATTAACGGTCAAGATAATGTGTTGTGAGATGTACTATTTTTAAGACTTGGAGAATCTCTTTTTTTCAATCAATATTTTCCAATATCTTAACAATCTTTTTGGAATGATTTTAGAAATGCACCTTAATTCTATATTTTAAGTTGTCAAACTTCTATAAACTTTTCCATTTTAGAATAACCATATATAGAAAAAGATATATATAGGTGGACACCTTAAAATACAGAGCTAAGGTGCATTTTTTTCTTCTTCTTCTGTTTTAGTGTTAGAAGACATGTAATTAATCCAAAAACACTTAAAGAACAGGTTCAATATCAGCTCAAATCCATGTGTGGATGTGACTATAAACATAGCACAATAACCACAATAGGAAACCATGACAAATAACAATACCAATTAGAGCTTATTGGTGTAAGACAAGAATCACAAGAATTTTGCCTCATCAAAACAACTCCTATCTCTCTCTATAAAATTCATATCATATATCATCTAAATAGGTTGTCATCGGTTCTAACATAACAACAAGAAACTAAATAAATAAAGATTTTTAAATCACCAATTCACGAAAAGTCCTAACATAACCAGTCCCGAAGATCTAACAAAAATCCATACTGGTGACAACAACAACAAAAATAAAACAGCATATAATAATGGAAAAAGTTTATAAGGATGCAACGTTATCATGTAGAACTACAGATGCGCCTCAAAAATCCATCAAAAAAGGTATTTTTAATGTTGAAAAACCCTTTGATTGATCATTTCGACATCGAGATATATGGTCATGAAAAATAAAAGGATTTTAAGTCCCAAAACTAGTGCATTTTACAACATATTATCTATACCGTCCATTTTTAAGTTTCTCATATGTTTATAGATCTACTTGACTTTAATAATTTTTGTAATTTAAAATTTTATAATTAGATATAAAAATAGATTATGAGATAATCCTAAGAACATTTTACATCAAAATTATATATTATGACAAAATTTGAAGGTGCACCTTAGTTGGATTGTTTAAGGTTGCAACCTTATGGAAACCACACCCTATAATAATTGATAACATTGAAAAAATATTGCGAATAATTATGGGAGTAATGATCCTATAGGACCCTCCCCCACTCATGTGTGTAGGATCCTATAGGATTGCCGTTAGTCTTGGATGTGAATCTCGAGATTAAATTGGATCATTACTCTAAATAAAAGCTGATTTTTTTTAGTAACGATCTAAAGACCGGAAAGAAAAAACCCAAAAAAATAGACAGATAAATAGCTTGTATAAAAAATGCTGTTAGTAATAAAGTAATGATCCTATAGGACCCTCCCCCACCCATGTGTGTAGGACATAGGATCACCGTTAGTTTTGGATGTGAATCTCGAGATTAAATTGGATCATTACTCTAAATAAAAAGCTGATTTTTTTAAGTAATGATCTAAAGACCGGAAAGAAAAACCCAAAAAAGCAGACATATAAATAGTTTGTATAAAAAATACTGTTAGTAATATAGTAATGATCCTATAGGACCCTCTCCCACCCATATGTGTAGGACCCCATAGGATCGCCGTTAGTTTTGGATGTGAACCTCGAGATTAAATTGGATCATTACTCTAAATAAAAAGCTGATTTTTTTTTAAGTAACGATCTAAAGACCGGAAGAAAAACCCAAAAAAGTAGACAGATAAATAGCTTGTATAAAAAATGCTACTAGTAATAAAGCTGCGAAAATGAGCGTACAGAATCATCTAAAGACAATCTTTAACCTTTTTCTCAGAAAAAAAACAACTGCCCATCCAAAAAATAAATCGCAAAAACAAAAAAGAAATCATTGCCCATAAACCAAACTTATCAAAAGAAACAAAAGCAAACAAAAAAAGCAAAAGAGAAAAAAAAAACCCGTCAATTAATCATGAATTAAAAGCTTACGCCAATTTTTGGAACCAAATAAAAAAAGCATACGCTTTGCTGGTAAGCTGATTTTACAGAGAGAGAGAGGGCCTTGTAAAAGGCCAGAAAGCGAAGGTTCATTAGTGTTTAGAGAGAGAAAGGGATGGTTCATTAGTGTTTAAAGCGAGAGAGGGGGCGGAAAGGGTAAAATTTTACATGCGGAGAGGGGGGGAGGGTAAAATTTTTTATGGGTGAATGACTCTAGGCAAAGTTGAGAAAAGGAAGAGAGAGAGAGAAAGAAAGTTGAGAGAACGAAGAGAGAGAGAGAGAGCAAGTTGAGAGAACGAAGAGAGAGAGAGAGAGATAGAGCGATCTAACGCTTAAGTTTAAGGTTATATCGATTTGGGCTTTCGGGCTAGTTACAGGCATATCGCTTAAATTTAAGGTTATATCGATTTAAGCTTTCAGGCTAGTTACAGGTTCGAAGGCCTGGTACAACTGGCCCAAAACTAAATCCGCTTCTTTTATGCCCGGCTCAGAATGGAATCAGTTCCTTTTATGCCCAGCCCAGCCCACCCCAGGCCAGGCCAAAAAGTCGCAAAAGACGGCCTGAAAGCATGCCCGTCCAAAATCCCAATGCCCAGCCCGGACCATTGCGAGACCTACATACATACAATACTTGTATGTAACAATTTTGTATTCTTGCATATAACAATTTTGTAAATAACAATCTTGTATTCTTACATACAACACTTGCATATAAAATTTCAAATTAAAAAAATGATTTAAATCAACCACATCTATAAACGTATAAAAAATCTTGAATTGCAAGACGTACTATTTTAGGAAATTAGAAATCTTGATGTCAAGATCAATTAGATGTTCTTTCAACATCAAAACAACCTAACCTTTCTTGATAGATTTTAGAGAAGCACCTTAATTCAACAATTTAAAACAACACCCTTACATATACTTTTTCAATTAATTGAACATCTTATGCTACCCTTAAATAAATAAATAATAAATGGTACTCACACCATAAATCTACCATCCATACAGGTCCTTAGTAGCGGAGAAGATCCATTCCCACTCAAAAAAGTGATGTCTACAACGAAGGATATGAGCACCAGCACCGGTACCATGTACACAACTCTTCCAATTGATCCAACAAATAAATTGACGTGTATATCAAATGGAGTGGTGGTAAATATTAAACAACAAATGAGGAGACACTGTTTCACTATAACCCTGGAATTCATCCGTTCACGTATGGAAATGGGGTGTCTTGAATTAACAGGATATGTGGTTTTCTCATCAACACACCTTCATCCAAAGAAACTTTTCTATTCTTCCAAAAGGCTCAAATACAATTCAAAAAAGTAAAATAAAATGAAAACCAATGAAAACCACCTTACAACACCTGATTATAAAATCTGGGGTCTGATGCCAATTTCCACCCTAAAAAGTGGCAAAGACCCCTTTCACAGCCGTAGAGAGCAGTCTCTCTGTTCTTTCAGACACTTTAAACACAAACGACAATAACCCATTTCAAAATCTGCGAGCATCCTCTCTCCTCTCTCTCACACAAACACTCACTTGGAGACAAATTTCAACCTGCACACCTCTCTCTCTCTCTCTCTCTCATAAACACAAGCACTCATTAACAAGTATCAAAGCCGGCAATCACCGCACACCCCGCCTCCCCTTCCTTTCTCGCTCACCGCCCCCACGCCCCCCCTCTCTCTCTATCTCTCTCGACTGGTGCCAGTGTATGGTATATAAACAAACAACTACATCCCCACCTCATTCATAGGAAATAATCTGGGGCTGGTTTCTTCGAAGGAACCCCTCTTGCATCCTGCATTTTGACACTCAAAAAAATAAGAAAACATGTGCAACAAAAAATGCATGAAACTCCAAAACCAAAACGAATTTGAAAGAGAAGGAAAGCCTAATACTCACCTGTGATGCAGCTTCAAAAACACGAAACTTCTTGTTCAGGTTCTCATCCAACTCCAGTATTGCTGCCACATTCCCACATCTGAGTGCATGCACATGACTAATAATTAGACTAGAGAGGTCACAATGAATCTCTCTCTCTCTCTCTCTCTCTCTCTATATATATATATATATATATATATATATATATATA